AAGTCAGACACTTGCCCTCTCACAGAGTAATAGCTAGAGCGCTATTAGCTGCCAAGACACCAAAGAGTGTAAATACCCTAAATAACTCAAACGCTATAGCAAGGAAAATAATCAAAGAATTACATTACTGGATACTGCCACAAACGAAATAATAGTTTAACCAAATCCAAGGGATTTGTGTGAGATACGGATTTTGATCTCACAATGTAAACCATCTCTAAAATGCTGACAAGTATCACACAAGTCAGTCCTTGGACTCATAATTTGAATCTCTGGTGTCAATTGATGTCATAATTTTCTGAAAGCATCATATTTTAGGGATTTCAATTTGCTATCTTCTTCTAAACCGACTAGAAACTCCCTGTACACAGATTTATAATTCATTTCAGCTGGTAAAAATACAATTGATTGAGTTATTCTGTTATTACTTCTTCCTGGACTTGGTAATCCATGGACTTCTGCATAATTTTCTAGAAAATTTTTTACAACTTCTGCAACATTTTTATCAATTACCATTTTGGTTTTCCATTGAGGCATCCTTTTAATGTTACCATGAATTCTTGGTAAAAGACCATTGTTTATCAGATGATTTCTAATATTTTCAAAATAGGTTCTACCAATCCCTAACATATTGAGGTAAGTTTCTTGACAAAGAAGTGTATTGTGATCTCAGTGATAGAAAGTTCTTTTATTAGATCTGGCTTTCTTTTTAAGGCGTCTACTAGTACTTGTTGATCCACCATCCATTGCTTTAAGTTGAGTCATTAAAAATATGTCTTGTTCAGACTTAGAAAGAGCTTGGAAGGATTCTCTTAATTCTGCAAATTCTTTTTTGGGAATTCTTGAAGAACAACCACAATCACAACCTTTTTCTAAAAAATCAATTGCTTTTTGATATTCATTAGAACCATTATGTTTGTTAATTTGGTTATTATTACTTTTCATATACCTATAACCCTATATATTATTTTATGTTCACTTTGTAGGTTTTAAAATTGAAGAGATTCTGAAATTGGTGCAGAAAGAATTAAATTTTGGTGGATCTGCAAATAAATATCAGAAATACTTTCAAATGTATATTCAATAATTGATATAAAAGACCATAAGAAATAATTAAAAATGAAAAATGGATAAAATAAAATTGTGGAAATTATTATTGACCATACTAAAAATAAATAAGAGAATTATTGTTATTTCTAAAAAACAATTGAAGAAAATTGTTGTTTTGTGTTAATTATACTAAAACAGTGAAACTGATTTTTTTTATTTTTTTGGTCTAATAAACAAAATGCCATTTAATTTGACATCCATTTGTGTAATTGACTCAATCATTAACATTAAAGGAACAGACAAGTTTATTATTGATATCAGGAAAGTTTTCCCAATGTAATATTTACAATAAACAAACTTGATAACATCTAAAAAATTTTTTGGACACAACATTAGTTGCAACGTAATTTTTATTAAGTAAAAAATAAAAAATGTTACTGCCACCATTTATGGCCCATACTTTACAAAGAAAGTGGCACATATGACCAACCTGGTATTGATTCCCAAAACCTAGGCCTACTGAAAGTATTAAGATTTAACACCTTGGTTTAATGGGAGGTTAATACCTGGTTAACTCCTGGTATAATAATTCAACCAAGTATCTCCATAGTTTAGTGAATATGTTGTACCTTTTAAACCTCTGTGTTCATTTTCTATATTAGTTGATCTAGGGGTAATTGATGATCTGTTTCTATTTGTACATTTTGCCTTTTTTATTTTATTATTAATACCCAATGTTTTTTCTTGTATAATCATGGCCTCACATCGGGGGTACCATATGTGTTTCATTATTTCTCTATAAATTTTATTAATAAAAAAGGTAATAATTTTGTTGGTTATTGGTTTGTTTTTAACTACACTATTGATTTTTTCAGAGAGAAATTTGGGTACAATTCCCTTAATTATGTCTATGAAAGTCAGTTCAGTCTTTCCTTACAAATATTATTGGTCCAAATTGAGACATGATCTAAATCATGATATTTGAAATTTTGTTTGGTATTCTGTTTAATTAAAACTAAAGGTTTTTTCTTGGAATTTAAAATTATGTGGGCACTCTTGGATCGGTTTTGAGGACAGGTCCAGATGTGCTCAAAGGTTTCTTGTTGATTATTGCATGTTGGGTGCTTCCAATTAATGTAGAGGTCTGGTCTATGTTTCTTCATATGTTCAATTGTGGGTAACTCTTCCAAAAATAATTTAATTTTGTGTGCTTTAATTTTAGATGCTATAAATGAAGTTTCCTGTTGTTTATCTTCATTGTTTAGTACAAAAAAGGTTGAAGTCCAATCGATGCCTTTGTGTTTTTGATATTTTGTATTTCTATTTAAGTTTAAAAATTTTTCAAAACCTTTTTCTCTTGATAATTGTGTTATGAATTGGCACAATTTGATTCCTACAAAGTTATTGTTCCATAATGGGAAATATGTTATTGATGGAACATAGTGTGGTAATAAATAGACTTAGGAATGGTGCATCAATATTGTGTGCTAGTTTTGCTAGCTGATCAACTTTGTTATTATTAATATTAGTATTGTGTGCAGACACTTTAATGAGTGATAATGAAATTTGTTGTAACACTAGAACTTCGAAAAACACATTCCAAAAAAAATCTTCACATATTAATTTTTATATAAGACTATATATAATTTTGATCTACATATTCGACCAACAACCATCTTATTTTTCTATATTATTATTTATATAATATTATTTATATTTTCTTATGAAACAAGTTACCAGTTAAGTGCTCAGTAATTTATTTAATTGTAATATTATACATTTTTGTATAAAAGATAAGCTTTCTGCAATTAATAAAGAGAAAACTTAATTAAATTTTGACATAAGGAAAAGGGTTTTCTTACATAAAAGATTGGTTTTGTTTATTTATATGTTTAAAATTTCCTTTATAGTGCAAAGATGAAATCAGTTACATATATTAGTTTTTGGAGTGAAAATAGCGAAGTAAAATTATTAAACTTGAAGTTGCAAAGTCAACACCATATCATTATTATTGATTAACCATTTAAAGAAAGATTTTTAAGAAATAAAACACTTAAGGAGTTCTGTTAAGATTGAGGGTTGGACTATTTTCAATAGCTACTTGTCTACATTTTCCACATATATTTTCGGTTTGAAATTCCTGGATGAGCTTTTCTGTTTCAGTCAACTTCCTCTGAACAAAACCAGATTAGTTGAGCATTTGAAAATTGGTTATAATGATAGAACAAGAACAATATACATATACATACCTCCAATTCTTTCAAGAGGCAAAAGGCACCTTCAAGTAAAGCACAGTTTTCTTTATTTGATGGAATAGAACAACTTTCTATTAGTCCAAAGTGATATATCCCATCTCCGGCCCAGTTCATCACATATAGAGATAATTCCAACCCTGCATTGAGTGAAATAAATCAATCAGTTATATAGCAAGTCTAGGTTAATTGTCATACACATAAAATATCTGTCAGAATGAACCCACCTACAAGTAGCCAACCATATACAATTAGCTTCTTTCTCTGATTGTCATGTAAATATTTCCATTTTTTGAGAATATAATTCAAAGAGTCTCGCATTAATACAGCAAGTTTGACTTTATCTAAATATTTCTTTTTCTGTGAAGCAAGTGACATGTCAAGTGGACATAGTCCATATGCTACTTCTCCATATAAGGCTTCAAAATTATTGGAAGTCCTTGTGAGTATGCCTCTCATATCCACCTTTCTTCCCATGTGAGCTTTGATAAAAGGATTTGCATTTTCATTCCTCAAGTTTTTCGAACTAAGTGCCTGAGTCTCTCCCCTATGTGCACAAAGATACAAATCTCTTAATATTATATACCCTGCTGTAAATCATCACACAATCACATACCATATATCTTTCACTAATGAAGTGTCCATAACTGCATTAAATAAAGGGTATATTGTGGTAAATTTAAGTTCTTCCTCTGTCTTGGCTCCCTTCTTAGACATATTAAATATTCTGACAAAAAAAAATCTTGTTAGATATTAGAGTATACTACATAGATAATGATGAGTCAATCCTTACATAAATTGAATATTTGTGTGTAGTTTTTCGTTATCTTCATAATCTACAAGTTTAACAGGATCACAGCCAGAATCAAAATATTCACAAAGGTTTTTTGGTGTTGGTTGTGGAGACCAGTGAACACTATTGGCAAAACCTTGAGAGATTTCATTGATTTCACTTTGGGAGAACTCTATACACCCATAGAGACTTTCCTGCGTTAGGTCAAAGATGCCCCAGTAACCCAACCTATTAAATTGCAAGCAAACTTAAAAACAAGTAATTTTATTATGTTGAAATCTTAGCAACAAAGCTTATGTTATAATTTGGCGTGACTTTGGAATTTTTTCTTGATAGTTCTTGAATTTCTTGGAGATTCTTTGCAAAAATTCTTGCTTTGAAGTCTATCAAGTATAATTATATCAGCATGCTAAGAATATAATTATCAAGTTTTAACTTGACTGTATCGAACAAAAACTTACATCAATGATCTTCTTTGAAACTGGTAATGTTGTCTCTCCTTTCAAATCTGATTTATCAATAGAATTAATTAAAACATCCTCATTTGATTCATCAAAGAGAACAGACTCTTCTGTTGGTTCATCATTGACTGTTCTCCTTTTTTTCTGTTCATGGGAACTTTTTTGTCCTTCAGGATTTCTTGTTTTAATTACTCCACTTTCTTTTTTTCGTTTATTTTCTTGACTTTTTAATGACATTTTGATATGTATTAAAAAAAACAAAAACATGTATAGTACATTTTAGCATTTCTATTTATGTAAACTAGAGTGATGAGTGATGGCGATAACCACCACCACCATTCTTAAAACGCTTACGTATTTTTAGCATTTTTAATAAAGAAAAAAAAAGTTTATTTGATCGATCGACAACACATTATTTATCCTATTGGTTATTTTTTTGGTAGGACAGACGCGAATTGTTTTTTTTTTTTTTTTTGGAAAAAAAATTTATTTTTTGACAGATGACAAAACACGAGTGATGTTGTTTAGCATGATTGGTTCTCCTAAAGAAATGCGTTAATAACTAACCAGAGGTACTTTTTTTACTTGTATTGTCTTTTTTGGTTATTATAAACATTTTAATTGAAATCAAAACGCGGAGCAGATCATTGCTGGGTAATTACAAGATTTTCATTAATAATATTTTGCTTTGCGTAATTGTTAATAATATTATTATATTACTATATAATTACAAGAAGATGTCAAGGCAGCACACCGTTGAAAAGAAACATTTTGAATATGCGATGTTTGATTATCAGTAATTAGTCATGCACACTACTTGAACACATTACAATCATTCTCTCATCTTCCTTGTGTACATAAGGCTAATCTGACTTGCATCCCCCGAAGATACAATGATGCAATTGAATTCCAGGGGGGGGTCGCTCTGCTCTGAAGTTTACCAAGACTACATCAATCATCAAGGATATTTTCACTAATCTTCCAGACCAGAGATGGCCGCTGGCATGTTGGAAAGTTGCCTGCAACGATCCTACCTCTAGAGTAAGGATGGCTCTGTGTCCAAGTTGCAACTCTGGAGGAATATTAAGGGAATCTGCAAGCTTGTTCAAGCACAAGAGGTTGCAATTCGGAGCAGGGTTGGTAACCCTGAAATCACATTTGTGCTCTGATGTTAAGAGGAAAGTTGTAAAATAGTGTTTATTTGTATAATCATTTTCCTAAATGTTCTGTTTTTTTGATACTAACCAATTTATAACTTTGGGTGAGACTAGATGGGTTTTTTGCCCAATCACTTATCTGTCTTGTAGGTTAAATTATTGCATGATTATATACATCTTTGTCAGCAATATGGGCAACAAGAAAAAGTCTTAAAAATGGTTTGGATTTTGGTGTGTTATGTTATAAATTATTCATACTCTGTTTCTTTTTAATTTTTATTTGGCCAACTGAATTTGTTATTTAAATGAATGAGGTAGGGTTGTTGGTGAGCACAAGACAGCAGCCCAGATTGCAACCTTCCAGGTTGCAGAATTTTCAAACCAGTTGCAGGTGCCAATTTTATACTGAAGAGGTATAACACAAAACAATCATCCACACAAGCACCAGCCATCAGCAATCAATGCCCATATAGTGACTGCCAAGCCTGGTCTGAGGGGAATATAGGGGAATATTTTGTCCAAAGCCTTCCAACATGTTCAGGGTGGCCTTCACCTGTGGGAAAAAATTCCATGGTGCTGAATTGTGCTTAATTGCACAACGCTGCATGTTTGTAGTAGGAAATTTTAATTAAATCTGACACTTGATCAATATCAGATTTATTATTTATAAGGAACTATAATTGATAATCAGGAAGAATAATTTATTTTGTGAAACCCAAATATCTGGGTAGACAGGCATTATTAAGAGTTTCATTTTGTCATGGCCTTGGTATTATTACTGCCTGGGTGATGCAATTGTTTGTTATGTCAATGATGATATCAAACATATTGAATAATAATCATGTCCATGTGAATATCTAATGGATGGAAGCATTCACATGAAAGGAAATGATTAAATAGCTAAGTCATGTTTGTTTTTATCTATATAATTAATTATATTTAAAAATTATTATTTTATTTCACCTTTGTAATGGCATTAATTTCAGTTGAATTAATGTTATTAAATCTTTTTTTTATTTACAATAATTATTTTTTTTGATACATCAAACTCAGTCCAAAATCTATCATATTTATTATATATATTAAAATTTCTTTTTTGATTAAAAAAAAAAAATTCAAACATTTGTTTATTTTTTTTTAGCACATTTCAATTAGA